TGTCCATTATTACATCATCAAACTCTAAGCTATAGAAAGAGTTTATTCAAAACCAGGTATAATATGTTTTAGATTCAAAGAAAAAGGTTTGAAAAGCCATACCATCTTCTTCGTTTGTTGGAAATTGAAAGAGATATTCTACCATAAAAGCACAAGTGCCTGAGAAATGGTGGAAGAGTCGATCCTTTGGTTAATTCCAAGTAAAATTCAATGGAATCCTCACTACTTCAAAATGTGTGTACACATAAACTATGGCACCAAGATCTTTCAATTCCAAGAAAAACTGAAAGGACTACCACCATCATTTATACTAGTGAAGCTGCAGTGCTCTTGTCAAAGGGAAAAGATTTTCTCAAAATGTAGTTCACAAAGTGGTAAGGAGTCCAGACTCCAGATTCTATCATTAACAATCAGCAAAGTAACAAATGCAAAAACACCATAATCTCTAACCTGAAATGGAATAAATTCTTTGCTTAAAGTTTTGATTTAATATGAAACTAAACTTATCAAATTCATAAATCGATTAAGGGCACATATGACTTCAAAGTAACAAGACAAACCTAGAGAAACTCTGGTTTAGACACTCAAAGAGAGGACCACTCATCTGGTTGGGTCCCCACTGTGAAAATCACCCTCTAGTCATCATGATATTTTTTTTTTTGGTTTCAGAACAGGAAAAGTAGATTGCCTGCATTTATTTAAATGAAAATAGATGAACAAAACTGAATGGAACAAAGAAATACACATAAAACAGTGTGAATGCCGTGAGTATTATCATTGATCAAACTCATATATATACAGCATATAATGGACAGAATTACACAATTGCCCTTCACTAATATATAATACTCTATCATCCCCCCTCAATTTGGGCAGGATTAGAAAGAATGCACAAATTGCCACGCAAGTACCGAAAAGGCATAATAGGAAGTGCTTTTGTCAAAATGTCAGCCCACTGATGACGAGAAGAAACATATTGCAATCGAACTTGCTGAGAGGCAACCTTGTCACGAACAAAATGCAAGTCAATCTCTATATGTTTAGTACGTTGATGCTGAATTGGATTGGTTGACATGTACAAAGCACTGATATTATCACAATAAAGAACAGTGGGGAAAGACACCGGAAAATATAACTCATAAAGAAGTTGACGAACCCATGTTGCTTCAGCTACAGCATTAGCAATGGCACGATATTCTGCCTCAGCACTAGAACGGGACACTGTGGATTGCTTTTTAGAGGACCAAGAGATCAAAGAATTACCAAGAAATAGATAAAACCCAGATGTGGATCGACGAGTATCAAGGCATCCTGCCCAATCAGCATCAGTAAAAAGATGAAGAGAAATTGTCTTGATTCGGCGAAGCTGAAGACCATAATGTAAAGTGCCTTTCAAATACTGAAGAATATGTTTCACAACCTGAAAATGATAAACAGTAGGAGAATGCATATATTGAGAGACTTGCTGTATTGAGAAAGCAATATCAGGACGAGTGAAAGTAAAGTATTGCAATGCACCAACAATACTTCGGTACCCAGAAGGATCAGAATGTCGTGGACCATCAGTAAGAGCTAATTTCTTCCTGGAATCAAGAGGAGTAGCTACCGACTTGCAATTAGACATACCAGTATGATCCAGTAAATCAAGAACATACTTGGATTGCTCTAAAAAGATACCATCTGAATTACGAGTAGCCGAAACACCCAAGAAATAATTCAACGGACCCAAATCTGTCATTAAAAACTCCTTCTTTAAAAGAGAAAGCACTGAAGATAATAATGAAGAAGTAGATGCAGTCAAAATGATATCATCAACATATAGTAATAGCACTGCCATGGACTCACGGTTTTTATACAAAAACATAGAAGAGTCAGTCCAAGCCTGAATAAAACCACAAGATTTCAAGAAAGAAGCAAACCGATGAAACCATGCCCAAGGAGCTTGTTTAAGACCATAAAGAGCTTTCTTCAGCCTGCAGACATAATCAGGATGATGTTTGTCCACAAACCCTAGAGGTTGGGACATGTATACTGGTTGCTCTAGTTCACCATCCAAAAAGGCATTTTTAACATCTGACTGATGAATGGCCAAGATGATGAAATAGCAAGAGTCCAGACTATCCGAATGGTCATTGGTTTAACCACAGGACTAAAGGTGTCATCATAATCGACACCAGGTTGTTGAGTGTATCCCTGAGCAACTAGACGAGCTTTAAATCTTTCTATGGTACCATCTGATTTCTGCTTAATTCGGTAGACCCATTTAGAACCAACAATATTAACAGTAGGAGGAGAAGGAACTAAATCCCATGTATTATTGCCCAAAAGAGCATTATACTCCTCTGCCATCGCTGTACACCACTCTGGTTGACGAACCGCCTGAGCAAAAGTTTTCTACTCAATTAACGAAAGTGTAGTAGAAACCAAAGAGGGCAAATGACGCACCTTACGAGTTCCATCTTGAGACCTCGTTACCATAGGATGTGTGAGAACTGCTGTAGGAGGATGCTGACTAGAACAAGAATCAGATGTATCAATTGCAGGCATGACATAAGATTGTTGAGCACTCAGCGATGGAGGCAGTGAAACAGGTGGCGGACATGCAGCAGGTTGTGAAGAAACTGGAACAAGTGGCGGACATGCAGCAGGTTGGGAAGAAACTGGAGTGGAATGGTGTTGTGCTTGCAAACCAAAATTAGGTGGGGAAGGAAGGATGGCGGGCTCATTATTGGAGAAATTTGTGGGTTTGGAAAGTGGGCTAGAAATTTGTGGAGAAGAATTTGCGGTTGGGCTTGGTATGAAGGGGCTAATGGGTGATGGAGAATTAAGAGGCAAAACATTATCCAAAAGGTGAAAAGGTGTGCGAAAATCAGAGGATGAATTTGGTTTGTGTGAGAGAGAAGTGGTAGAAGTATAAGGAAAACTTTGTTCATCAAAAATCACATGACGGGAAATAATGATTCGATGAGTTTCCAAATTCAAACAGTGAAAGCCTTTGTGATGGGATGAGTAACCCAGAAAAACACATAATGTAGAACGTGGGGCTAGCTTATGTGGGGCAATAGCTGATAAATTTGGGTAGCAAGCACATCCAAAAATTCGCAAATGATCATAAGAGGGCACTTTTCCATAAAGAACCTCATAAGGAGTTTGAAACTGTAACCTGCAAGTAGGTAAAATATTTATTAGGTGAATAGCAACATGTAATGCCTCCACCCAAAATTGTCCAGGTAGATTTGCTTGAAATAAAAGAGAATGGAGCATATTAGCGATCGTTCTATTCATGCGCTCGGCTTTCCCATTTTGTTGGGAAGTCGAGGGACAAGATGATCTCAATTGTATTCCATGTTTCTGAAAATATAAGGCAAACTGCATATTATCATATTCTTTTCCGTTATCACATTGCAAAGCTTGAATATGAGCACCAAATTGATTAGAAACAAATGCAGAAAATTGAGTAAAGCAAGAAAAGACTTCAGACTTAGACTTGAGAGGATAAATCCAAATATAATGACTAAAATCATCCAAGAATAAAAGATAATATTTAAAACCACCAAAGGAACAAATTGGAGAAGTCCAAACATCAGAGTGAACTAACTGAAATGGCTTAGTTGTCACAGAAACAAAATCCGAAAAAGAAAGACGAATATGTTTACCTAATTGACAAACATGACATAAACTAGAACTACCAACTGTTTTAGTTGTAGGAAGAAAACCATGACGAACTAAATGATTGAATGAGGATGAACCCAGATGACCAAGACGACAATGCCAAACTTGAGGAGAAATAGACACATGATAAGCTGCTGGAGACTGTTCAGAATTGC